TCCTGAGTTTTCTTAATAAGTCTAGTAGTTCTTCACTCAGGCTGTATATCAGCAAGACCTGAGAGCTTTAAATATTCCAGAAGATATGACCCACTAATCAAATCTCAACCTCACTGCATTGAGAATTAAATATGAGCACCTTTCCATGGTTGTAAGAGCATCAATTGACATTCATCTCCCAACATCATGGTGTATGGTGCTCCCATTGTTATGTCCAACCACAGGAGTAGGACTTTTCTCTGTGCCAGGTACTGGTTCTGCACTTCCCTCAAATAATGGGCTTCTTTCCATCTTTTAAGCCCAGCTTAAATTTCCCTTCCAAAGGATTGTACTGGCAATTTCTCTAAAGGAGCTGCTTCCTATCCTTACCACCATTACCATTTCATCATCAATGTTTTCATTTTCTTTACCATGTTTACTGGGTGGCAGCTCTTCTGGACTCTAAGCTACATGAAATCTCTCCTGCTCTGCCTCTGGTGCTAAATACACAATAAGCATTCAATAGATCACAAGACTTCTGTGTCATAAGAAATTCCCAGTGTTTTTGGTAATTTGAGAGAGTCCCAGTGTTCCATGTGTGGTGAAAAGGAATATAAATTCTGTAACCATTTTCATAGATGAGACTGCTGAAGAAGAAACCTGGGACTGAGGAGCAGCTATTGGCATAATGGCTATGTCGCTGAACTCCCATGTAGTCAACCGCAGTTCTAGTCCCAGACCCGGTGGCTTAAACTCATGCTGGACATGTGCATGCACATGCCCAAGATCCCAAGAGGAGAATGGAGGAGAAAGGGATTGGAGTGTGGCCATGCCCACTAGGGGGTGATTTCTCGTTCTCTGTCTCTCTGTCTCGCTCTGGATTTCTGGTGAGCACACACATCCTATAGCAAAAACCTCAAAAAAAAAAAAACCTAGGGTTGGATAATACTCTGCAGAGCTATATTTGTTGCTTAATCATTTCTTTCAGGAATTCTTAAGAAATTAAGCATTCTTTTTGGAAATGGCACTATATATGTAGTTTATTTTCATTATTTTTTATAGTTATGTTGTACAAAATTTTCATGAACACAGGATTGAAAATACTGAATCTTTTTTCCTAGGAAAAATAGAGAGGTTCCTGCAAGTCTTGGGTCACAATCTTTTTGTCTATTCATCTACAAGTAAACTTGTTTAGTGAGATCCTCTTAAAGATTCCAAATTTAATGTATATTGTTGATTCATTAATGATTCATTAACATGAACTCAAAACCAAAATGAGATACCACCTAACCACAGCCAGAATGACTAAGATTTTTTTTTTTAATAATAAGTGCTACCATGGCTGTGGAGAAAGAGGAAATCTCCTAAACTACTAGTGGAAATTTAAATTGATCCAGCTACTATGGAGAACAATATTGAGATTCCTCAAGGATCTACAAATAGAACTACCATATGATCTAGCAGTCCTACTCCTGAGTATCTACACAAAGGATAAGAGAACCTCAGTTAAAAAATGCTTGCACATCTATGTTAACTGTGGTATTATTCACAACTGCTAAGACATAGTACCTACCTAAATGTCCATGAACAGAGGAATGGATTGAAAAGTGTGGCACATATACTCTATGGAATATTTCTCAGCCATAAAAACAAGACCCTAGCTTTAGATAAAATGTGGATGAGTATGGAAGGATTACTACTGAGTGAAGCAAGCCAGGCAATAAAGGAAAGACATTGTTTATCCCCATGTAATATATACTGACTTTTCATGATCCATTACTCAAACTGAAAGATTACAAGGTATTAAAATTGGTTATGGATACTGGATACAGTGAGGGAAGAGGGTGGGAGAAGAGGAGAGTGTAATGAAAGACACTAAGGAAAAAATAGAGAGGCAAGACATTTATGAGACAAAGAAATGGGTTATTATGTATTGATAACATGTAAAATATCCTGGACTGAACTGGTGTAAAGTGTATTCATTTTGTGAAAATTTTATTTACAAGCTAAGTGATGTACAGTGATTGAGTGTATAAAAGAAATTAAAGCAAAATGAAATCTACCTAAAAAATTGTACTCAGTGAAGGGACACCACAACTCATGCCTAAACTAAGATGCTCTAATACACATATTTTCTCTATAAGATGCAATTTGCCTTCTTGGGCTTAGGAACACACGAGATAGCTCTTTAGCAGAGAGAGAGAGAGAAGAGAGAGAAAGCCACCCTGGGGATGGCCATGCCACAATCCATTCTTCTCTATCCTCCTTTCAGTACTTTGGGAATACATGAATGCATGCCCAGCGTATTTTTTATGTCATCAGGTCTGGGACTCAAACCACAGAATTGTCCATGTGGTTTTCAGTCATCTTAACTATCATGCTACTAGAAAGCTCTGAAATTACCACCAAAAAGCAAGTAGAAATGGAATATTATTTCTGATAAAATGCATGATTAAACCACTATGCAGTTTATTCTAGATGGGAAACCACATTTAGTATGTTGTGATGATGTTCAGGGAATGAATGTTGAGTAGTTTTTAAAAAAAAAAAAAAAGTTGCAGGAGGAAAAAAAAACAGTAAAACTGTTCATATCATAATTTTTTAAAAAGTGCATATTTGATGACTGCAGTAAACTATATAGCCCCAGCTAGGTACTACTTTATAGTATGTTCATTCTACTCACGGAGGTTTATGCCTAAAGTCTGATTTGGGTTCATGTATAGGTATATATCAGCTGTGCTAGCTATTGGATATATTGAGACTAATTAAGTTCATTAGCAAATCAATTAAATGGGGGGGAAGGCATAGAAAGCAACCATGGATACCAGAGACAATGTGGGAGGAGGGTGGAACACGGCAGAGGGTGAAGGATAGGGAATCAAGGATGGCAAAACAAAAAACAAAGTATACAAGACATAAGAATTGGAAAATTATTTGCTGATAACATGTATGTTGATGTGCTTGATTGAGCCAATATACAGTGTATTTTGGATGGAAATTCATTTGTATGCTGTAATGATGTATAGTGAATTAATGTAAAAAATAAATAAATTTAAAGAGAAAAAAAAGAAAAGAAAAAAAAAGCACAAAAATGCAAAAGCCATTGCACTAATAAGTCCACAGGAAGCACATTTGTTTGTAGTCTGAGAGCTAAAAAGAAGGCAGAGCATTGCCTGTTTGACACTAGCTGGGAACATTATGTCAGACAACTGAATTTTCACTACTCTGCACATGTCCATGACTTCAAAAGTACTGTAAAGATCAACTTGGAGGTTCCAAGTGAACGTTAGTGAGGAGAAAAAAAATCAAAATATCCATGAATAACGATTGTCACAGTTGGAAGACTCAGAGGCTGTCATCTCAAGATAAAAGAAAGTTGGGACCAGCAGTTGGAGTAATAGCTATGTCGCTGGACTCCTATAGAGTTGACTGTGGTTCAAGTCCTAGACCCAGTGGCTTAAACTCACTCCAAGCACGTGTGTGAGCGTGCCCAGGATCCCAAGAGGAGAATGGAGGAGAATGAATTGTTGTATGGCCATCCCCCCTTGGGGGTGATTTCTCGCATTCTGTCTCTCCATCTCTCTCTGTCTTTCTGGCGCATGCACGTGCCCTATAAGAAAAAAAACACTCTTAAAAAAAGAAATAATAGATAAAAGGAAATTTATTGAGAAATAGTTCTTGGTGTCTATAGACAGAGGAGCTTCAGCTCACACTCCATAAAAGAGGAGGGTCAGGACCAGCAGTTAGTGTAATGGCTATGTCACTGAACTCCCACATGGCTGGCTGTGGTTCGAGTCCTGGACCCAGTGGCTTAAACTCACGCCGGGCACATGTGCATGCATGCCCAAGATCCCAAGAGGTGAATAGAGAAGAAGGGACTGCGGCATGGCCATCCCCCCCCGGGGAGTGATTTCTTGCTATCTGTCCCTCTCTGTCTTTCTGCCGAGTACACGCACCCTATAGAAAAAAATCTCTTAAAAAAAAAAAAAAGAGGATGGTTTTTAATAAAGCAACTGATTATGCTATTTGGGGATGTTGTATGTACATTTTGCAGATAAGAAACACTTTTTGTTTTTTGCTTTATTTAGGCTGTTGGACTTTGTACTTGTTTTGTGTCCCTGTGTAACAGCTTGGGGTCAGCATTCCCTTACAATGATATTCCATCTTAAATCAATTTTAGAAGCAATATTAGCAATATTTGTGTTACCACATATAAATTCAGATTCTATCTTTTGCCATAAAAATATTGTATGACTTTGGTCAATCACTTTTCATCTCTGGTGTTTAGGATGAAGGCATGACACAAAGTGATTGTTAAGATAATTGATCTTTGGGATCAGCAGTTAGCGTAATGGCTATGTCGCTGGACTCCCACGTAGTCAACCGTGGTTTGAGTCCCGGACCCGGTGGCTTAAACTCACGCCGGGCGCGAGTGCGTGCATGCCCAAGATCCGGAGAGGAGAATGGAGGAGAAGGGATTGCGGCATGGCCATCCCCTCTGTGGGGTGATTTCTCGCTTTCTATCTCTCTGTCTCTCTCTGTCTGTCTGGCGAGCACACGTGCTCTATAGCAAAAACCTCTCTTTAAAAAAAAAAAAGATAATTGATCTTTCACTGTAATGATTTTATCAGGTATTTTTTTCCACATTGGAGAGACAGAATCATTTCTAGCACTATGAACTTTAGAAACACATCTATCATGCGATTAGTAGATGGCATAATAGTTGCACCACCTGGACTTTTGGGACTCCCAAGTAGTCAACCATGGTTCAAGTCCTAGACCTAATAACTTAAAATTCATGCTGGGTACATGTGCGTGTGTGTGTCCATGTGTGACTAGAATCCTGAAAGGTAAGTGGAGAAGGGATTGTGGTATGGCCCTCCACCTGGGGAACTGATTTCTCACTTTCTGTCTCTCTGTCTCTGTCTCTCTGGTGAGTTCATGTGCCCTATAGCAAATACATTTATCTAAAAAAAGAAACAAACACATCTACTGTAAACTGACACTTTGTTTCTGTGAAGGATTTTGTCTCAGAAGATAACTCCAGGAACCTAATTTTTGAGTTCTTCATGCAAGAAACTGTTTGCCGGAAATACAGTGGGGCAGATCTCTTTACATGTGCCTTCGAAAGAAGGGCCAGCTGGGTAAGTGTAATGAAAATGAAATGAATCTCAGAAACTAACCCAAAGAAAACCCTTGCTTCTTCCATGGCCTGGAGCTGATTCAGAGTCTCATGAAGAGCTCAGCCACTGCCTGGCTGGCTTCTGGCCACACCACTGTGTCGATGTGTTCCCTGGAGGGGACGGTGTGGCTTAGTGATGGAGGACTTGAGCTGTGGAGCCTGCGATCCTGGCAAGTTATTTAACCTCTGGTGCTTCCATTTCATACCCTTCACACTTGTGAGACACAGATAAGGCTTATTATCTGTTGATGAATATGTGTATGGTGGTCTCAACTGGCCTGGACCGAGGTATATATTATAGTGGGTAAAGTCTCTTCACAATCTAAATGATGCATAGCAATTTAATGTATGCACAATAATTTTAAAAATCAATAAAAAAGTAAATAAAAAATAAAATGGGGCTGAATTTGTATCAGGAAAAATGAGTAAAAAGAAGCCAATGACAAAGAAAAATAATAGACACATTTCCAATTCTATGATATATAGTATCCCCAACTGGACTGATGTGAAATATAATCATGTTGTGAAATTCACTTTAGAAGATAAGTAGTGATGTCTAGTGATTGAATATATAAAAGGTATTGAAATAAAATATATTAAATTAAAAATAAACTAAATGATGGAACCAGCAGTTGGTGTAATGGCTATGTTGCTGGACTCCCATGTAGTCGACTGCAGTTCAAGTCCTAGACCTGGTGGCTTAACATTACACCAGGTGTGTGTGTTTGCGTGCTCAAGATTCTGAGAGGAGAGTGGAGGAGAAGGCATTGCAGCATGGCCATTCCCCCTGGGGGTTGATTTCTTGCTTTCTGTCTCTCTGTCTCTCTCTGTCTTTCTGGTGAGGTCACACACCCTATAGCATAAATGTCTACAAAAAAATAAAATAAAATAATAAAATAAATGAATGGAAGGTTTGAATATGTTCCTGGCATGTGGCATTATTGTTGTCCTTCACCTCTTCCTGTTGAGGATTGACTCTAGGATCCCTTCAGAGATAGCAAAATGCCTCTGTGTGCATATTTCTTTTCCTCCGTCATTTTGCCAAACCATACACCATTTACTGATTTATTGGGTAGAGGCTAATCCTTTGTGAAAGTAACTACATGTATTTCATTCTTTTGCCTTTTCCAGAATGTGTTCCTGTGTGAGAGCAGAGTGAAGGTGTCTGAAAACAGACGGCAGTCTGTGACTACTGATTGTTACCACATCTAGAATTTGCCAGTACTTTCCAACCTTCAGGTATAACTAGGGGTTCCAGTCCACTCAGACAGTGCCTCCTGGGGGCTGAGTGTGGCACAGTGCTTTGATAGTGTAGCTGGGTTATTGCACGGGAATAGTAAGCATAACTTCTGGCACAGCTAGAATCTCCCGATACATCTACAAGCTTGTAGTTCATAACACTTACTTCTCCCAGTCTTTCCAGCTGCTTCCATTCTCTGTCTCTCTTTCTCTCTTTCCCCCATCTCTCTCTCTTTCTCTGAGATTTGGGACATGACATTAAAGTAACAGTTAAAAAATCTTTAAATTAATGAGCTAAGTATCTAGCTCCGTGATACTGTGGTTTAGTGAACAAAAGGAAATTTTTTTTCTTACTATAGGGCGCATATGCTAACCAAACAGACAGAGAGAGACAGAGAGACAGAAAGCAAGAAATCACCCCCCGGGGGGGATGGCCACACCGAAATGCCTTCTCCTCCATTCTCCTCTCAGGATCTTGGGCACACACACACAAGCACCCGGCGTGAGTTTTAAGCTGCAGGGTCCAGGATGCAAACCATAGTTGACTACATGAGAGTCCAGCGACATAGCCATTACGCTAACTGCTGGTTCCCAACAAAGGGAATTTTTGTTGAACCAGTGGTAACTGGTTGCTGTTAACTACTTATCAGCTCTGCAGTCTAGGTTAGGCTACTTAATCTTAATGATCCATGAATTCTGCATCTGTTGCATGCCAGTAAGAAAGAGCACCTTAAAGGTTTTGAGAGAATCAAGTGGATGTGGCTCTGAAAGATATTTAAGATCTTCTTTTATTGGTGCTAGAGCCAAGGATCAAGTGTCTCCTTTTCCAGACTGTACTAAAATGGCTAGGAAGTCATATATGTTCTGCAGTAACACACTCACACACTTGCGGTCCAGTTATCACAAGCTCTAAGAATACCAAGTCCCATGTACTCTGTTAGTAATGTTTTTGTGGTTTATATAAGCAAAAAGACAGTGAGGAGCAGGATGAGTACAATCCCGGGCCTTGCAGGCTTTATAGGTTATTTTGGTGTAAGGGTGCTCTTTAAGCAGGAATTTTCTGACTGCCAGGAAAAAATTTAGGACCATATAGCATAAGGAATGACTATCATGTGGGAACAGTGAGAGCTATCTGAAGAAAATGATGTTCATAGCAACATCAGGAGAGTGAACAGAAGTTGGGTAACAGAACCATATGAAGTCCTCAGAAGAAGATTCCTCACGGCTCCTGTGAGCTAGTTATTTCAGGGAACAAGAGAAATGAAGATTCCCTACTGATGATTAACCCTTCAGCAAACAAGCTAGCATGATAGGCCTTCTATCTCTGTCTCTGCATCTCTGTCTCTGTCCCTCCCTGCTTCTGTCTTCTCATTTTTTTGTAATTTTTCCTTTTTATGATTTTTTTAAAGGTAAAGTTTTTCTCTTGCTCTTAGCTCTACCTTTTGTCTTGCTAATAATCCCCTCTGGTCCTCCCACCCAGGCAGGAGAGGTGAACCTTCAGAAGATTCCTCATGGCTCCAGCGAACTAGTTATTTTGCATGGTGCGCTATTTTGTGCTTTTTTTTTTTTAGAAAGGGAAACAATAATTACAATTTTTTCATTTTATTTTGCCTTTTTTCTTTTTTTTGTTGTTATTTCTCTCTCTCTTTTTCATTTTCTTTCTTTTTTTTTTTTGGTCTCTTCACTCTTCAATATCCATTTAATGTGTTTCTAGATAGATCTAATAGCTAAACATCCAAATACTATTATGGTTAACATATTCCTCAATATCTACTGAATCTGGTGCATGAGCAAACACAATGAAATGGCAAAGAGATTCCAGATCACCCCTTTCTGCTTGCTCCTGAACATTCAGATTGAACTTCAAGAATTAGAAAGAAGCACACCGTCCATCAGATGAGAAGAAATCACCGCAGGACCACAAGAAATTTGGAAAAGCAAGAAGATACCTCTCCTCGAAGGGAAAAGAATAACTCCTCTTCATCCAGAAGCAGTTCAATGAAAATCATGGAAGTGTCTAATAAAGAATTTAGAACATTCATAATGGTGAAGCTAACAGAGATGGAAGAGAAGAGAGACAATGAACTGTTAAAGAGAAAGGAGAAAGAAGTTGAGGAATTCCAGGATGTGAGGAAATTCTTGCAAGATCTAAAAGAGGAATTACACACTTTACAAAAGACTCAAATGGAACTGTTAGAGATGAAGTCTATAATACAGGAAGTCAAAATCTCCCTTGAAAGTATTAAAAGCAGACTAGATCATTCAGAAAATAGAATCTCAGAT